GTGCAGCCCCGTTGGGCGGCAGCTGTGAGGGGGTGCGATGCGCGGCCCGCCGCGCTCCCGCCTGGGCTGGGCCGGGCCGGGGGTGGGAATGGGTGCTCTGGTCCTGCCCTGCGGCAGTGTGAGGCCGGTGCGGGCTTCAGGGGTTGCTTAGTGCTTCCTGCTAGAAGGTGAGGATGTCATCCTGTTTGCACGGGCTGGGGGAGATCAGCCGGTGCTGGCTCAAGGGAAGAAACACTCGGATGACGTACAGTGAACGTGTTGAGGGAGTACCTCAGCTTAAAAGTACCCACGAGTGAACAAGCATTCCTTTTCGACTGAGATGACCTGATGTGTTAACAGTATGCCAACTATGAATCACCTACCAACGCAGGCAAATAAAGTCACTGAAGTATATGTATCTAGTGTAGCTTTCATAACCACCGAGGCAAATTCAAAGGCCACGATGAAGAGTTTAAAATTCATACAGGAAATTAATTCTCCTGGTAGTTTCTGAGCTGTACACGTTCTAATAGAGGTTCAATGCCTCTGCTGAAGCAATCACAACTCAAAATGTGTTTTCATGTGATTTGGTATGATTAGAGTTGGTGATGTCTGAAAGTTGCACACTGCTTAGAAAATCACTGTTCATAATGGTCGTTACTGCCGCAGTTCACATCAAAGTTTAATATATTGCATTTATACCTCGGTTAGGCTTTCTCAGAGTATGTTTAGCTATTGCAAAAGTAAGGCATTGATAGCAATTAAAATATACAGAGCATGCTAAACTGTGGCTTGGAAACACCTTAGTGTAGATAAAGTAGGCTTTAAATTAAAAAAAAAAAAAAATCTATATATCTCTCAGTAAAGTATGGAAGCATACCCTGGTTTCAGAATGGTGGAATAGGAACTTGAGAATCCTTGCAGGGTTCAGTGTTGTGCTTAGAAGTGTACTTAATATTTGCTGGCTCACATCTCAGATGCACCTAATCAATGAAAAGTTTAGGGTTTTTTAGTAACCGTCTTCCTCCTTGGTCTTCTAATTCAAACGGGTGAAGCCCTCTGCACAAACTGCTTGTGGTTTCTGTTACCAGAACAGCAAAACTGAATGCATCATCTTACATGATACGTGGTTCTGCCTCTGTGCATATTAGCCTAAAGGAGAGTAAAAGTAATGTGTAGATTCATTTGACCTTACTGTAGTATGGAGAGACATGTGCTGTCATTTTCTAAACAGTACATACAATTTATTGTACTTAATTGTACTGTGTAAGCATACTGCTTGTACTGACAGTGTTTTGCTAATTGCAGTGCTGAAATATTAAGAATGTAAATGTTGACAAAGTTTTGCATACCAAGAAAACCTGAAACTTAAACTTTGTAGTTTTTTTTTTAAATGCTGTATTTATGTTTAATGGGCACATTATTTTCTAATAAGTTTGCTTTTGCCATTTCAAAAAAAGCTGTAGCCCATGTGATACAGAGAGAGATAACTGTAACCACCTTTGTCCTTGGTCTGTACTTGAACTCATATTTCTAATGATGGCCTTTCTTGTTATTTGTATCAGCTGTTCTCTCTAAATTGTTAGTGATTCTTCATTCTAGTAGTGCTTAGATCCAGTTTGGTTTTTCCTTAGTTTCTATTATAAGGGGTTTTTGTCAGAATAAAGAGAGTAGCAAAATAAAAGTGAAGGTATGTGTGTATACATATACACACACACACATAGATATATAAAAACACAAATATTTACATATGCACCCCTTCACTTTACACACACAGAATATGAAGGAAAAAGGAGGGTAAAGGTCAAAGCTTGGAAATGCTACCCTTAATATATTGGAAGTCTGTTCCATTTTCCTTTGCCCCATCTTAGTTATGTATGTTTCTTCATGTTTCCAAGTATAGGTAAGCATATCTCATATAAACCACTGTAAAGTGACATAGAGTCTTACAGATTAGATCAGTGGAAGTTTACAGTAGAAGGCATTATGCATGTATGTTAGGAATGGAGAGCCCAGAATTTGCAGAGCCTTTTCAAATATGTTTGTCAGGCCAGCACTTTTAGTGCTAATGGGTGTGTACAAAAAAAAAAGGGGGGGGAGGTGAGGGTTATATTTTGTTCAGAAGAGCCATGGCTTTGCGGAGTCTTTTCAAATATATTTTTTAGGCCAACAATTTCAGTGATAACCAGTGTGTTTAAGAAAGAAAGAAAAAAAAGTTAAGGGGTATATGTGGTTCAAAAGTTTCCGAAGTTTGATTTAATTGCTACTCCGCTACAAGTTTTTTCTTCATTCCTGCCTTTTTTTAATGAATCTTTTAAGAACAAGATAGTGATGACACACACCTTTGTAACCTCTTGTAAATAAAATGATTTTTCAGTAGCGTATCAACTCTAGATGTCAGTTCAGTAATGGAATCATAAGATCACGCTGGTTTGGAAATCAGGAGTTTTCTATTCTGCTGCTGTATTGGAAATCACAATATATTGGACTAATCACAATAGATCTCTCAAATTTTTTTTCTGTTATCCTTCTGACTAGTCCTACAAATATATTTTTAATTTTTTTCTTGAGCTCCCACTATATGCAGTTATTCTCAGTGTTTGCAGACTTTCAGTTAGTTCCTTCAGTAGTCTTAATTAAAAAGTTCAGTTACCGCAGATTGTGCTTTATTTTGTTGTAGGTTCAAGATGCTGGGCAAGAGATGGTGGCGTCTTCTGTCACACCAGGATCAGGAAAATCAAAGGTAAACAGTCCTCACAAATCTAATTTATGTGGATAGCAGTAGTTGAAAGAGTTACAGCTTAGCATGCAAGCTGTGACTACTAGGAAGACATAAAGATATTTTTAAACAGTTTCCTGTCTTCTAGACTTCTTGAAAAATTGATTTACAAACACTAGGCTAAGGTGTTTTGGAAAACATGGCGGGGGGGGGCGGAAATCTCTTATTGGTATGTTCGCTTCCTGTCATAATATTTGCTAAAATATTAGTAGCATCCAGTTCTGGCAGTAGTCTGTTTCATAATGTACACAGACTTCTTTGCATTTGTTGGAATTAAGTTTAAACAATGTCAATGTTAGGTCAGCATGTTATTTTCAAAACATTGTTCAAATTATATTGCTGAATCGTAACCCTTCCCAACTGAGTTCTCCTGTCGAACTGATGCTGCCCAGTTGTGTGCTCTAGAATGATTTTGGAAAAGTACAGAATTAGAAGTCGTTTCTGTTATTGCACTTGAAATAACAGAATTGGATAACATAACAGCAGTAACTTGGACTGTTATTGTTCTTGCAAATGTGTGGTAAGACAGTTTCTTGCCCTAAAATTTAACAACTTGGAAATCGGATGCTAAAATGCCCTGTTTTCTGTTTACCTCTGGGTTAGAGGAAGCTGGTTCCTCTAATACGTACTTTTTTACAGCTGGACACATTGCCCAAAGAAGACCTCATCAAGTTTGCAAAAAAGCAAGTGATGCTTATACAGAAAGCAAAGTCAAGATGTACAGGTACCTTACTGGAAAGAGAACAATTTCTGCCTTAATGCTTGGTACTATCTGACCTTTCCTAGTATCACTGCATATTTTTACTAGGTAGATTTAAATTCTAGGCAAATATCCTAGATTTTTTTCCTGCAATTTCACTCTTTTGTGGGAGGATAAAGGCTGAAGTCCTTAGAGCAAGGAAGGGAAGAAAAAGAAGCATTGCTTTTGTCAGGTATTAAATTAATTTTGATCTGGCAGTATGGCATGATGGAACAATGTAGCTTGTGCAAGAGTTGAAGTAGGACTTGTCATTGTCTGTTCCCCGTATCTGTTGCAGGGATACCTGTTGCTTTTCAGGAAGTAGATGGGAGGGGGAACGTCTCTGATAGATTTCTGCATAATTAGTACTGTTGTAGAGTACAATGGTTTCTTTAAAATAGTTAGCTACTTTATATTCGATCATTTGCTTCTTTAAGAAGAAATCATAAAATATACCAACCAAAATTTTGTGTTAACCACCTAAAAGCATCCTGTGTAAATCTGTGTTCTCATGTGCTGTCCTTCTCTCTGCTGTCCCTTTTCCTCCAGTGGCCCGCTACTTGCACTGGTGTCGCTTCCCCTTGTTTGGAGTTAGTTATGCTGACTGCTGGTAGCTGCCCAGCAAAGCAGTAAGGATAGGGATGGGCTATACTGGGTTCTTCTTCAGTGGGGTTATTCATAAGATCTTGCTCTTCTACCTGCTGCCTATTTTTAGAGAACCAGTAGGAACTGAGTATCTCTTGTCTGGCTTAAATTGATCATGAAATAGATAGAATTTTTTTTTATGATTGTCTTACTTTCTATCTGTTGTCCCTCCACCCAAACAAGGAAGCTTTGCTTCCTCAGGAAACCATGCTAAATGTCAGGACTGGAGAGGTAGTACTGAATGTTTGTTCTGTTTCCATTAGCCCTTTATATCACTCAGAAACAAACAAAAATTGATGAAGTAAAAGACATCTCTGATTTGAATAAGAGTGGTGTTAGGCACTGGATTTACTAGTAATTTGCTACTGTGATGGAGCATCAATTCATGCTGTGAAATTTCTGTACTTCTTTAAGAACTAGAGAAAGAGATTGAAGAACTCAGATCTAAAGCAGCTACTGGAGGAGCTGATGATATTATTCAGGTAGGAATATGTAATGGGTTTCTAATGTATTACATAATGTTAGCTGAAATAAATCTACAGAGATAATTTGTGGGAAATAGTAAATAGCTTTAAAACTGTTATTCAAATTGAATGTAATCAATTTTCAGGAATTCAAGACACTTCCTAAATAAAACCTTTTTTTTCTTCCTTCCCCCACATACTTACTCCGCTTTTCAGAAGACACTATTAGTTCTGTGAGGAACAGTACAGAATAGTACAATTTCCTCAGCAAGACTTTTTCCTTGTGTAGTTGGTTAGACAGGCTTTTGTTTATTTTAGAATGACCACTGCGGGAAGACTTCAGCCATTTAGAAAACTTCCGAGGCAGTCATTTGATGAGATCAGAAATACATAATTAAAGTTGCATGTCACAAGAAATACTTTTAGGAAAGTAACTGGGATTTTTTTTAAATGGCAAGAAAATCTGTCTTTCTCAAAGTAAGGGTCATAGACAGCATATGAAAGTGGAAGTTGGTAGCGAGGAGGAATTTATCAACTGGAAAATTGTTGTTAATAATTTGGATGGAAATTTCGCTTCTACAGAGGGGGAGCTCCCCCACCACTACCACCTGACAATAAAAAATGAGCTGATCGGAAATACGATTTTGAACAGAACCTATTACTGAACATCATTGTTTTAGTCTACCTATTCCGTATCTGTCATATTTGAGTTGAAAGTAACTTTTAAAATCAGACTGATCTGTTTAATTGACAAAAAAAGTCATGACCAATATGCGAGTTCCTACAGTTTGCAAAAGTCATTCAGGATTCCATTGTTAAGGAACCCTTCTTTCAGTGATCTTTCTCCCTTAAAATTAGGCTCTCACAGAAAGACTGGATGTTGTACTTCTGGAAAAAGCTGAAAGTCAGCAGCAGTGCTTAGCTCTGAAAAAAGAAAATATTCAAAGAAAGCAAGAAGCAGAGGTACTGAAATGAGCAATAGAACATTACTAAAATATTTCAGAATTATGTTTATCTTTATTTCCTAGTTTTCTTGTTGTGTATTTCACTTTCTTTTTAATCTTTTTCTTCACTTACCTGTGTTCTGTTTTACCTTAAAAAAAAGTCTGAAGGCTTCATATTTTTAAAGCATATTTTCTCTGTACCCCCTAATTTCTATTTTTTATAGGACTGACAATAAATACAAAATTCTTATATGCACCGGCTAGATCCACAGCTGTTCCAAAAGAACTCAGTCTGTGCATTAGTAGCCTACTGATGTGATGGCTTCAATCAATCAGCTCTGTCTTTCCATGGGAAATATGAGGTTTACATTCAGGTATTCATAGGAAGGAGCCTGTCAGCCAAGGCATCTAAATTATGTCTGTAATCTTAATAATAAAGTAAAGAGGGAATTGCTTGCAATTGATGAACATTGTTATATTCCAGATACTTGAATTTGATGCGCTAAAAGTAATTTGGTCTTTAATACATTATCGTAATAGTTGCTAAAGCTGAAATCTTTCATGACCGTTTTGTGAAATTATGCTGGTAAGCATGATTTAAGACTTAGTTTTCCTTTCTCATTCTGCAAACGTTTTTGTACTCTCTGCAGTGTCTTCTGAATTGAGTTGTCCTAACATAGTTAAATATTTTAAAACTATAGCAATTTTTAAAACTAAGGACTCCTAAATCTAAATCTTCTAATTCATTATTGTAAACAGTTTATTTGGAAATCCTGTGTGCTAAATTACCAGTATTTAATAACTTGTATGTTTGTTTAGGCTGCAGTGGCTAAGACAGAAGAATTGCAGAAGCAACTGGAGCAATTAAGTATTGACTCTCTGAAAGAAAGAAAAGCTCTGAAGAGTGAATTAGCAAATGCACAATGCAAACACAATGAGGACTTAACAAAGCTGAAAATAGAATTAGAGGAACAAGAGAAGAAACAAATGGGGCTGGTGGAACAGATTGAACATCATAGTGATAGTCAAAAAGAAGTTAAAAGATTACAAGATTATATCCAAATAATTAAATCTACTTATGAGGAGCAAATTTTGTGTCTGAGCAAGCAGTTGGAAACTGTGAATGAAGACAAAAACAAAGAAGTGACAAATCTGCAAGAAACTATTAAAAGCAACTCTCAGTGTTACCATAATGAAATCAATAATCTGAATGAAGAGCTTAAAAAATTAAAAACTGCCCATCAGGAAGAGGTGTCAGAGTTGATGCATCAGATTGAAATATCTTGTAAAGAAAATGAAGAAAAGCAAAATCAGATAAATCAGTTACAGCACAATTTGGCAGAGGAGGGCTTCATAAAAGAGAAAAATGCGAAGGATGAAATGTGTGCTCATACTGACCAGCGTGAGTATGACTTGGAGCAGCTGAGAGAAGTCTTAAATAAAAATGTAGAAAGCAAGATAGATCTTGTAGACTCACAAGAAGAACCTTGTGTAGAAGCGAAAATGGAAGAAAAGGTTAGGCACCTGGAGCATAGCTTAGAAGAGCTCCAGTCCCAACATAGTATATTAAAAGATGAGTTAACTTACATGAGTAATGTTAAACTAAAACTGGAAGAGGAAATCCATCGCATAAAGGACGAGTACTTTCATGAGCGGGAAGACTTGGACTTTAAGATAAATGAATTGCAGCTTACTAAAGAAGATTACTGTGGTGTAATCGAAAAACTGAAATTGGAGCTTCAAGCAGCAAGACAGCACTGTGAAACCGCTGTGAAAGAGCATAAGTTAGAAACTCAAACTCTGAAAGAGCAACATAAGAGAGAAATTTCTGAACTAAATGAAACTTTATTATCTGGTTCTGAAAAAGAAAAGATGGCATTAGTTTTTGAAATGCAGGAACTTAGAGAACAGCTTGAAAAGCTAACTCAGGAGAAAGAAGAAGCAGTGTCCAGTTACAACAGCCTGAGAGAAACAATGGAAACTCTACAGACTGAGCTAGGGGAATCTGCTGGAAAGATCAGCCAGGAGTTTGAATCAATGAGACAACAGCAAGCTTCTGATGTCAGTGAACTGCAACAGAAACTCCGAGCTGCTTTCAATGAAAAGGATGTTCTTCTTGAAACTGTGAATCGCCTCCAGGAAGAAACAGAAAAATTGTCATCTAATCTGCTAGAGATAGAAGAACTTAAATGTAAAATTGTTAGTCTTCAGGAGGAGAATAACACAATAACAAGCTCCCTCACTGCTGTGAAAGAACTGGAAGAGAAGATCGTTGCTCTTACTGATCAAAACAAGGATATTTTAAATGAAGTAAAATGCTTGGGTGAAGAGAGAGAAAACCTTCAGGAAAGGTGCAAGCAAGAACAAAGAAAAGTTCAGGAACTTCAGCAAGAAGTAGGTGTTGCTAACCAGTACAACAGCGACCTGAAGAAAAAGGTGGCAGAATTAACAGAGAGACTGAACGAAGCTTTAACTAGGAAGAGTGAAAATGCTCAAACGCTAGAGCAACTGGAAAACCAGATTGAAACTCTGGTGCGTGAAAGAGAGAACCTTTCATCTGAAGCATATACTCTTCGTGAGGAAAATAAGAAAATCATTCAGGAAAAAGGCGAATTAAGTGAAGAGCTGGAAAAGTTTACATCTGAAAAAGATGGTTGGTTAGTGTTGAAAGAGCAGTCTGAAAACTTAGAAAAAAACCTACAAATGATGACTGCAGAAAAAGACCATATATCAACATTACTTGAAAGTGAAAAAGCGCACAGATCCCTTGTAAGAACTCAGCTGTACCACTTACTTGAGCAAGTGGGGTCCAGCGTTTCTGATGCTGATGAAGAATATGATTCTTTTAACTTGTTACAAATTGCAAATGAATGCTTGGCAAAAATGAAAGAAGAGCAGTGCCTTGCTGTACAGAACGAGGAGAAAGTTCTTCATTTGCAGCGGGAAGTTGAGAGACTAGAGGAAGAAAATGCAGCTCAATATGCAGAACATAGATCCCTGATTCAGGATTTTGAAAAAGAAAAGGACCTCTTGAGAGAAGAATTGGAAGGAGTGTTGTCTGAAAAAGAAGCACTTCAACATGATATCCAGGAGCTGAAGAATGCCAGTGAAAAAACAAGGATTGAAAATCAAGATCTTTTAGCTAATACTGAAGAAATCACTCAAAAACTTGCTTTTTATGAAAGTCAAATACAAGAACAGCAAAAAGGATCAGAAAACCAAGACGACTTAAATTTGATTCTGGAACAAAAGGAAACTGAGCTTAGAAATGTGAAAGACGAACTGAGTTCTCTAAAGGTTATATTTTGTTATTGAAGTATACAGACTAAACCTCTAAAGTCTTCAGAATTAAGGTTCAAAAAATACTTTCAATTCTCTTTTTTTTTTTCCTTGGCCTCAAATTGAGTTTCCCTTCTAGAAAGCACATGTTTCTGAGTTTCCTAGCACCTCAGAATCCCCTCCCTCCCCCCAGGAAAAAAAACAACCAAACAAAACCAATCATAATGCTATTTTGACAAAAGCTGTTTGTACTTGAACCTCTCTTCCTATCAGTACCCCCCAAAGTGATCATTTAACTAGATGGACTAACTGACCTCATAATCTTTCACCTCTAACTTTCTGACTCCATCTCAAACAAAACTCCTGCTTGATCTGCATTAGCTGCTCCTGACTTCAGGTCCTGGGAATTGATGGTTATGTAAACCTGACAGCTGCAGAATTAATGGTCTCCCATTTTTTGTCCTCGGACAGGATGGAAAGCAGCTGTTAAAAGGTTGGAATGTTTTCCTTTCAACATAAGTATGCTTTTCATTTACGAAGCTGATATGAAATTGCACATAAAGACTTTCTTGGTAGTAAGAATGTAGACACAGTCCAGCTGTAGCTGAAACTTCTGGTGGCTTGTTAGGGGAAAAACAGATATCACAAAGAAATTTTTGTAATACTTCTTGTATCTTTGTTTATAATACAGAATTTAATGGAGACATTGACTGAGAAAACTGATCAACAGTCTTCGGTAGCAGAGCTTCAAGAAAAAATTGGTATCTTTCTTGCTGTTCTCTTATGTAAACAGTTGGGGGGTTTTGGATTGTTAGTTTTTCTTTCTCCGCATAGTTGTCCTGTATTTCCTACAAGCTAAGGAAGGTGGGGAAGTAGATATCAATACAACAGAATTTAATGGAGACATTGACTGAGAAAACTGATCAACAGTCTTCGGTAGCAGAGCTTCAAGAAAAAATTGGTATCTTTCTTGCTGTTCTCTTATGTAAACAGTTGGGGGGTTTTGGATTGTTAGTTTTTCTTTCTCCGCATAGTTGTCCTGTATTTCCTACAAGCTAAGGAAGGTGGGGAAGTAGATATCAATACAACTTCCTACTATATTCCTTCCATTAGGGTTTTAAAATATTTTTAGCAATCTTAAGTCGGTTATCATTTGGTATTTCTTAAGTTTTTCTTCCAAGGTGGGGAAGTAGATATCAATACAACTTCCTACAATATTCCTTCCATTAGGGTTTTAAAATATTTTTAGCAATCTTAAGTCGGTTATCATTTGGTATTTCTTAAGGTTTTTTCTTCCTGTGTACATTTGGCTATAAACAGTGTAGTGGATTTCATCTTTATTTTTTAAATAAGGGAAATAATTGTGTCAATAAGAATCCCTAAGGCTGTCAATAGGAGAGGAAAGCAACACTTTGCCAAAACTACTGTTGCCTCATTGCAGTTATCCCAACATATGGTTGTTGGAAAGAAAATGGTTCCGAGTTGTTACAACTGTAAGTAGCAGTAGACAGGAATATGGCTTTTTACGTTAACTGTGATGGAAGCCTCTGAAACAGGGAAAGATTGTCCCTAAGCTGTCTGTGCGGCTGGATGTTTTAGCTTCAGATTAAATTTAAATGCTTGACTGAATGAAATATTTGAACACACACCCCTGCTTTATATTTTGGTTTTTTTCAAAGTCATGCTGGTATTTGTGTTCTAATTTCATTTCATTTCTTGGGGGAGAGGGGAGGCGTATTTTTTCACTTTCTTATTTATTTATTTTAGGAAGGCTGGAAAAAGAATCTGCAGAAAAAGGAGAGAAGCTAAATAAAATTAAGGTCGTTGCTGTGAAAGCAAAGAAAGAATTAGATGCCAGCCGAAAAGAGGTACCCTGACTGCTTCTTAATATGAAGAACATTCTGCATCTGGGGTTCTGTTTTAATGACACACACTTCTTTGTAATAAGATGCAGACTCTGAGGGAAGAATTGGAGTTGGTTCGATCAGAAAAAGATCAGTTGTCTGCTTCAATGAAAGATGTCATTCAAGGAGCTGAAAGCTATAAGGTAAGAATAGTACTATATTTACGAAAGACAGTTAACTGTCAGAAAAAACTTTGCTTTTGAAGCCTAGCCTGGATATATATTGCTATTTACTTGCACAAGTATGTTTGGCAAAAGAAATTATGTCAGTGCGGTTGAGTACCCAAATCGAGAAATGTAAGGTTCTAGTAACAGAACTGTGCGGCTGCTGTCAGAAGAAAATAAGGCACTTCCTTTCTACTGGATGGTATTTTTAAACCTTTTAAATCTAGCATCATACATATCAAACAATGTGTTGCTGAGGCAAAACATAAATCCTTACGAATTCTTCAAAGTACATTAAATTGGGGATCAGTTAGAAAGTCCTTAATTGGTAAAGACATAAACTATTCCCTGGGAGTGGGTCCTCTTGGAGCACGTCTCTGGGCACATGAAGCAGGTGACTGGGGACAGGCAGCATTGGTTCACCAAGAGTAAATTGTGTCTGATTGCCTGTCATGATAAAACAGTTGGAGTTGTGGATGAGAGAACAGTGGATGTCTCTTATCTTGACTATAGGAAGGCTTTTGATGCTCTTTCACAGTACTCTTGCATCCACGCTAGGACATCACAGTCTAAATGGGTAAGCCACTGAATGGGTGCTTAAAAAATAAAGAAAACAGTTGCGTGGTTTGGCTCAGAGAGTAGCAATTAATGGCTTGTACTAGATGCCAGTAACTAATGGGGTACCAAAGGGGTCTGTGCTGGGACCTGTCCTGTTGAACTTTAACAATGACCTGGAGAAGGTGATGGAGTACACATTCATCAAGTTGTCAGATTATTCGTAATTGAGAACAGTCAATAGACTTGAGGGCAGGGCTTCCATTCAGAGAGACCTAGACAGGCGTGAGGAATGGGCTGACAGAAACCTTCTGAAGTTCAACAAAGACAGATGCAAAGGTCTTCATGTGGGAGAGAGGAACTCCTTGATACAAGCTGGGGACCGTGTGGCTGCTGAAAAGAATTTCAGGGTTTTGGTAGGCAGTGCACTGAGAATGAGAAAACTGTGTTCTGGTACCAAAGGTGGCCACAGCATCCTGGGCTGCAAGAACAGGAGTACAGCTAGTAGGTAAGGGAAGTCATTATCTCTCTTCGGTCAGCACTCCCATGAAGGTGAAGGTTCTAGAGAACAAGTCCTATGAGGAACGGCTGAGGGAACTGGGGTTGTTTAGTCTGGAGAAAAGGAAGTTCAGGGGAGACCTTATCACTCTCTACAACTACCTGAAAAGAGGTTGTAGCGAGGTGGGTGTCGGTCTCTTCTCCCAAGTAACAAGCGATGGGACGAGAGGAAATGGCCTCAAGTTGTGCCAGGGGAGGTTTAGGTTGGATATTAAGAAAACCCGAAAGGGTTGTCAAGCATGGGGCCAGGCTGCCCAGGGAAGTGGTTGAGTCCCCATCCCTGGAGGTATTTAAAAGGCGTGTAGATGTGGTGCTGAGGGACATGGTTTAGTGGTGGACTTGGCAGTGCTAGGTTAATGGTTGGACCCGATGCTCTTAAAGGTCTTTTCCAACCTAAATGATTCTATGAGAGACAGTAGTCCTAAATCAAAATGAGAGATTCCAACTGGATACATGGATAAACATTTTTACCCTATGAGGATGGTGAAGCTTTGGAACAGGTGGCCCAGAGGTGTAGTGTCATCTCCATCCTTGGAGGCAGGTCCTTGGAAAGACCTGACTGGACAAAGCTCTGAGCAACCTGGTCTGTTCTCATTGCTGGCCCTGCTTTAAGCAGGAGGTTGAATGTAGACCTCCTGAGGTCTTTTCCAACCTGAATTATTCTAGAATATTGTGAACTGAAAAGTGTTTCTCCCAGAGCCTGTAATGGAACGATAGCTTTTATTCCATTCTGATATTTCTGATGTTGCAGTGAGACAACTTAGATGCTGAAATATTAGGAAGATAAGTAAGTGTCTGAGGTATAGAATGTGCTTATGCAATGTATATTGTAAAAAAATGATGGGTTTGTGTTTGTATGTGTTAAGAATCTTTTGATGGAATACGATAAGCAAGGAGAACTGCTGGATTCTGAAAAAGGCAGAGCAAATAATCTTGAACGTCAGGTAGATGACCTCACAAGACAGCTACAGGTGTCATCCCAGCAGGTCAGTTCTGTATACATGTCTGATCTATTGTTAATTACAGTAAAATTTTTTTTACCTATTGTGCTTAAGTTTTATTCATCTGATTGTTACTATATAGTGCATTTTGGATAGTGACTTGAAATTCAGGGGTTTTTTTTCCAACATCTGATACGTTATCTGGGCTGTGACAAAGGTAAATATATCTAGAATGTCTGGCCTTTTCAATAGAAAGGGTTTAATTTACCCCAGGTCAACTCACAGAAAAGAGCAGGTGATCCACTCTGGCTTCGGTTGGAGGTACAACTGTGCGGCATGTACCAGATATAAAAACAAAGTATCAAACTTGCACTATTTCTCTGATTTCACACCTAGACTTCTCATGAAGTACAGTAACCTTTAAGTGTTACATTTTTTTCTTCTGTTTTTTAGACAAAATGTGGTTTTGTTACTTAATCAACAGTGTTTAAATATACTAAATTAATTATGCTTTTTTGCATCTTGCACAAGGATGAGACTTTAGGATGCATTGTGGAGTACTACAGTGGCATTCAGAAGAGTCTAAGATGGTAATTAAGCAGCTGTGAGACACATTTTTGCAAAGCTAACTGAAATGGGTTTGGGATTTAGGATTTAAACTCCCAGGCCCCATACATAATTACACTGAAGATCCACCTAGGCCACTGTTTCCTTATAAACAGAAGGTAGTAGCGAATAGCATAGGAAGAAATGACAAATAGCAGCATATTCTAAATTCAGCAAATTCTGCTGATTATGTAGGCATTGATTTATTCAAGTTTGCTACAAAGTATTTTGTAAATAAAAACACTGTTTAGGTAATTGGCAGCTTCGTTCACTTATACTTCGTTCTTAATCCGCATAAGAGAGACTGAGATAAAACACTGAAGACTTCAAAATTAAATCTGTTAAAATCATTGCAAAAATAGTCCAGATACAGGAGGATTTCTTACTATGTACTGATGTGATCTTGTTGAAGGCTTAGTGGTGCTGCAATTATATCTTTTTTAGGAATTAATAGTATGATCATTTATTTATAAATACAGCAGCTGTATTTGAAGTGGGCAATAAGTACTTGAACCTTGCATATTATTCTGGGAGGAAGGTGATTATTGCAGAAAGCATAAATGTTGGGGTATTTTTTTCAGATTTCTTAGAATTCTAGCCATCTTACAGAAAGCTGGGCAAATGAACTCTGAAAAAAATAATCAAATTGTGCTAGTGACTTTAATTTAGCCTATTTCTTAATCTGGTTTAAAACAGTTAAGATGGACAAGACTCATCTGTAGGAGTGCTGTTTGTAAGGGAGTTGGATAGAAATCGGTGTTTGTTTTTTATATATAGACAATATCTTATCTGTCAAAGTCGCACGCAAATTCAGCTTACATTTTTATCTTTCCACTATGATCATTTCAGCATGATCAGTTACGCTCTGCTAATGAAGACCTCCTGGCTCGTGTTGAAACACTGCAATGTAATGCTAAGCTTCTGGAAGCTCAGATACTGGAGATACAAAGAGCCAAGGCAAAGGCTGACAAAGAACTAGAAGCTGAAAAGCTTCTAAAAGAACAGAAGACAAAGGTAGTATTCTGTAGAGATGGCGAATGGGCTGAAGCCTTACTTTCACTGGATGCGACTTCTGTTAGACCTTTGTAAACTGTGTTTTTATAGAACAAGTTCCATACTTTCTCTTCTTGTTACTTGACTCGGTCTTTTTTGAAGGTTTGGTCTGTTCATTGAAAGAACTTTGCAAGACTGTCACTTAGAGTAGTTTGGGGGTTGTTACAGAATGTGAAAAACACTTCATAATCTTCTGGGTTTTTCTTTGGTTCCCAGCGATTTCCTAAAAAAAAAAAAAAAAATCTTATCGTTGTACAACCTAAGAGTGTGTGTGTGTGTGTAAGTGTAAATAGATGCTGACATCTATTTTGAAATTGGACTGTGTAATTGAGAAGTATTTAAATTTCAGGAACATAGTGGTGCTCTCCGAGAAATGGAGGAGCTTCAGATGCAACTACAGAAGGAAAAGAAACATCTGCAGAAAACTCTGCAAGAACTAGAGCTGGCCAGGAAGGTAGAGTTGCTGTTCATGTTAGTGCTTACTGGACTACAAAAGATTTTGGCCCATCTTGCTGTTGAATGCCTCCCTTTCTGTTCTGAGGATTTTAAAGCCCAAGGTTTGCAAAAGGGAAAACATGAGGGTTTTTACCCCTGGTTTTGTGTTTGGAGAGCTGATGAGTACTTTTGGGTATGGTTTTCTTTTTCTCCTTTGCTTGCTTGTTTGTTTGTTTGTTTGTTTTAGCTTTGGTTATGTGGCCTGTCATGAGTAGAAATAGGAATAGAATTCAGATGTCTGGTACTTGCATGGTGCGCTATTCAGAAGCTGCCCTTGTTGTAAGGGCTGAAGATGATGGTAAAAGTGTTAAAACTAGTAACAGGTTTTTCAAAGCTTCTAGTTCTTGTTTGAAAACAGATTATTTATTGAGGGTATGGAAACCTGATGAATGGGTGTTGCTTGTGGGTATGGATAGTTACAAAGTTTTTGTTAGATGGGCAATATACTTTTTTAATATAATTTAAAAAAAAAGATTCTTAGCAGCCAAGGCAGATTGTAAGCTGCAACTTCATTGTGTGTAACTTGCAGGATGCTCAAAAGAGTACACTGATGGATATGGAAATAGCTGATTATGAAAGGCTAGTAAAAGAACTTAATCAGAAGATTACTGATAAAGACAGCAGAATAGAAGATCTTGAGCAAGAGACGGGGATTCAGAAACAGAAGCAAGAGACCCTACAGGAAGAAATAAGTGAGTAAACTATAAACAGCAAGAGTCTCTATGGTATAGTTAGTAATGGTAAAAAATACAATTCACAAACAACTCAAGTCGATGAGTGAGAGTAAAGTTTGCAGGGAAGACTAAACAATTACATAGTCAAAATTATTTTTCCAGAAAGGAAACTTTACTAGGTTATCAGTCACTTGATCTTGTATTCAGCAAATAAAAGCCAAATTGCCTGCCTGATAAATCGTGTTTCTTACTTGATTAAGTCAACCATAAGTTCTGAAAATTGGTGACTGATGGGGTTTCATTCTGACATACTACGCTCATAAAACTTTACTAGTCAGCATGTTGTTAAAAATTTCATTTCTTCCTGTCCTTACGTGTAGGTCTTAAAACAAATTCATTTATTTGAAGATCTTTGTGATACGTGGAAATAGGATACTAAACTTACTATAAGCTACTTGTTTGCAACTCTTAAGAAATCTGTCAGAATTTGCTTAAATATTTTCCAGCATTTTTAAGGAAATATAGGAGGGGAAGTTTCCTTTGCATATAACTGCTGTTTTCTGCATTAGAGTCACTTCAGTCAGCTATGCAACAGGATGAGGACAGAAATGCCAAGATAAAACAACTCCTGGTGAAAACCAAAAAAGAACTTGCTGATTCAAAACAAGCTGTAAGTCCAGATGTTTAATGACTGTGTATTCCATTTTTAAACTAACTTTTAAAAAAACGGGCTGGTACCTGAATTTTTAAGTTGCTGAGGTTTGGGGTTTTTTAATAACCAGATAATTTTATCATGCAGGAAAATGACCATCTGATGTTGCAGGCATCATTAAAAGGGGAACTGGAAGCCAGTCAACAACAAGTGGAAGCCTATAAGGCAAGAAACTTAACTTCTTTGTTAGTATAAGGTTTCTTACTTAAGTAATAAGGGGGTGATTTGTACTGGGCAGATGGAATATAGGCTAAAGAATGAAAAGGTGTTATTTTTATTACTAGGTTACTAGTTCTTTTTCTTAAATGAGTTTTGTCTGTTTGCTGCTTCCCCAAATATTTCCCCTGTGATGTTCTTTAAACAGGTTTACCCTTTCTTGTTCCTCTTTCCTTTCCCTTTCCACCAAAAGAGAGGACTGTGTAATTTGAAGCTTGTAACTGGGATACGTTTTAAAATAATTTCTTTAAAAATTGAAGTTGCTCAGTTTAAAAACAAAAGAACGCAACATCGTCAGCAAAAATCTTAAGTGTTGTCCATCTGTATAAATTTTGTTGGTTGGGCAGAATAGGAATTGAATGTTATGAAAGGTAGCAGGGAAGGGAAGGGAGAGGGGTCGGCTTTCTTAAATGCTGCCACCGCACCACTGTAATTTTATCTTCCATTCTCTCTTTAAACAACATCACAGATTTTTTTAGTTAAGTACATGGTAACCCATGTCTATTTTTTTTATTCTACTTTTATTGGATTTTAATTTTATATTCACCAGTTCTGTGCAAGAATTAGTATAGTAGAATACTATGTGCTCCGTGGCACGTCCCCTTGGAGAGAGAAGAAAAAATTTTGTCATAGTGAAATTTGCAACTGACTCTTTCAGATTCAAGTGGCTGTACTAACATCAGAAAAGCATAAAGTTCAGGAACACCTGCGAACTTCTTCAGAGCAACACCAGCGTACGTTGAGTACTTACCAGCAAAAAATTGCAACCTTGCAAGAAGAGTGCAGAGCAGCCCAGGTACTCTAGTGGAAGAAGTAATGTCAGAGACTTCAGAAGGGAGATTTACTGCACTCTCTGTCTGCTTCTCTAAAAATATTTTGCAGATCTTTCACTCTCGTCTTTTTGTCTGTCAAGAATTGGCAATTATCCCAGTGCTTAATGTATTTGAGTGGTGGTATAGAGGACAAGCCAGACTCTGTCCTGGTTGTCATGTATCACTTGTGGTGGAACGTCTGGACTGCACTCTTATATTTCCAGTAGGGAAAACCTGTGGTGGTAGTGGGGAGTCAGAGTTCATTTAAGATGATCAGCAAGTATACACTGAGGGGGGGAAAAAGCAGCCTTTAAAGAAAAGGGGGGAAGAACAAACAGAGAAGGAATATAATTTGCTCCATATAAAAACAGTTAACACAGATACCACTTAAAAAAAAAAACAACACCCTGTGAAAAATATATTTGCAAGCACCTTTTAATATGTTGCTATATGAGCAGCTTCTTAATTGGCAGCTGAGTTACATGTGAAACTGACACTATTGCTGAGGTTTTTATTATTTCTGGGGTTTTGTCCATATGACACCGTGTTAGATGTTCCTGGAATATAGTGTTTGCATTGGAGACAGACAGATTCAGAATATAGTAGGACTGTTACATTCAAACTATCTTTATGGAGATTACTGCACCACACTATAGCCCCTTTTGTATGATAGGTATGCATCCTGCAGATAAGTAACAGTTGAATGCAGCCTCTCAAAAAAACTTCTACATTTTAAAAAGGTGAACTGAAATGGACAAACTTTGTGGTTGCTGCTACAGGAGGCTTGCCTGAGCGTACTGGTAGATACGGATTATGGTTTTACAAATGCATTCTTCATAATTGGGGACTTACAGTACCTATCCATGGTGGCTTGCTCCTTGATGTTGTGAAACCAGTCAGAGTGTAGATCTTCCATGATGGCATGGCTTGAAGCTGTTGGAAGATTAGCCTTCCTTTTTAGGTGCCCTACATCTAAAAAATAGTTATTATTACAAGGTTATTAACAAAGGAAAATTCTGTCCAAAGGAAAGGTGGACACTAAAGCAGATAGTAGGTTAGAAGGCAAAAGTCATGCTGACATTTAACGCTGTGTACCTGAGGACTTAAGAATATTCAAGCTCACATAGTTTGACTGGAAGAAAAGAGAAGGATTAATTTAAAGAAATGCCCACAAATCTTAAAGACTCCAGAAAAGCTGGAGCAGTGGCTAGTCAGGGTCAGCACTGTGGAATTTCACTCACCCGTTCAGCTGAAGAGAAACTTTCCAAAATCCTCCTCTGGGAGATGAGAGCATCTTAGTCATCTCAAGGATGAGTAATGAATCCGTGAGCTTCTCCTAAGATCCAAGAATGAAAACCTGCATCTCTGTTTTCTTAGAAACATATACAATGTGAGTACTTGAAGGATGGGAATAATTCTTGCTGTATACTGTACAGTCAAGGATGAAGTTGTGTTGTGAGGTAATTTTCTGTATGTCCACAGAAGCTCATGTATTAGCTGAATTTAGAAGAGAAGACAGACCAAACACCCTTACAATCAACAAGAATATTATAACTTGTGCTGTGTAATACTATTACAAGACTGACTTAACTCCTCAAAATTATGCATAATTTTAAGGCTTATTAGATTTTTGTCACCTGGGTAGTATAAAAGGAAAACAGAATTATCCCTTTTTTTTGCTTCACCTTTGCCTTCATTTAAAGCTGTTTGATAGAACCCCTTGCTTGTGAATCTCTGTTGAATGCAATTTTTGAATTTGCAAGTATTCTTTCTTTTCTTTAATACTGGTATGTTGAAAATCAGTGTCTCTTTTTAAGTTTCACATGATATTCAATTAAAGTCCAAAGAAACATGATCTGCTATGATAGTCACAATTTTAATTATCCAGTTAAAAGAAGAAAATGCAACAGGTGGTTCTTAATTTTTTTTTTTTCCAATGAAAGATGCATTTCATTTTAGAGAAATAAGGGAGCCATAGTCAATAGCATAACTTAAGGGTTTGTTTTCTATGTGATAGGCTGAACAAGCATCTGTTACATCTGAATTCGAGAGCTACAAAGTCCGTGTTCATAATGTTCTAAAACAGCAAAAGAATAAATCTGCTTCTCAGACAGAATCTGAGGGAGCCAAACAAGAAAGGTAAAACTAAAATTTTTATATGCATAGAGAAAAATGCTGATACTTGAGTTATTGTGCTTGCCTTTGCTAATTTCTGACCAACAAGTGGGTTCCACTCTTTGCTTGAATAAGGAAAATATCAGAAGGGAGGCAGTTTGCTTCCCCAGTTACTTTGGTTTAAAAAAAAAAAAAAAACAAAAAAAACCCCCTTTTTCCCCAGTTACTTTGATTTAAAAAAAAAAAACAAACAAGAAAACCCCTCTTTATTTCTATAAACTTTATGTGATCTGTAATCTAACTGTGGCTCTGCCTATCTGAACAGAAGAAGGATCATCAGTTAGTACCATGGTGGTACTATGTTAGTTTCTAATTCCTTGATTTGTCTTTTTTTTAGCATTTATTTTTGTGTAGATTACCTGTTGTTACAGTCAGAGGGAGAAGTAAGGTGTTAGGAAGATTCTCATGAGCTGAAATTAGCCAGCATTTTCTGCGTAGACTTGACGTGTCATTTTCTCTGACATAAAGTGTTGCAGCAAAGCGCCATTTCCAACTAAGAAGAAAAGAGCAGATTGGTACTGTTCAGCTGAGCTCACTTTGAACCTTTTCAGGAAGGAATGGTTTAGTGTAGGTAAAGCTCTGGCTGCCAATTCAGGCATCAGTTCCAGCAGACTTACGAAATACTTATCAGCTGTTATATGAGGAAAGACTTGGGGGAAAGTCTTTGGGCTTTTGGAACACTGCCAAAAGTTCCCTGAAAATCATTTAAGTACAGTTGTAAGCCAGGTAAATTCAGATTAACTTCAGAAAATGCCTGAACCCACTCAAAAGTAGACCAGTTTCTGTAAGTTATTTTTATAAGTTATTGATAGCTGTCCTTGGTGACAGACTGGGCGTTTATGTATGAGATGTCAAAAGACATTTCTGACACAGATCTTAAAATGGTACATGCAATTGCTGCTGAAAATCCACCAGAGGGAGACTTGTGCTTTGTTAGAGGACCTTGGTTTTATGGTTTGTTTGGGCTTTTTTTAATACATCTACCCCTTCTTTTCTTTGAAGCAAGCAAACTGCAAGAGTTGCATTTCTTTGTCTCTCCTTTTTGCAGAATTTCAAGAAGTTCTGGTATTGTTAGGTTTTTGTGAAAGAGGGTCACATTGGAAACAAAGTGGGCAAGTAATCAAGCAATAAACAGATGAAAAATAGTTTTCAAAGAAATGATTTACAAGTATCAACTCTAAAGGTTAATGAGATATAGTTCATGACATAATGGAGATGTCTTCAGGTATAAATACAGAAAGCTAAAAGGAGAATGTGTCTGACTTAAGACTTTTTCCTCCTGGTATATCTGATTTTGATTTATTTCTGACCAACGGAGTTACCTGTTTTTACATATTGATGTTGCTTTCTAGTCCTTTGCTCAAAATCTCCTCCAACCATTTGTCTCCTGTATTCAGTCTCACTGAACTGATGTGCACTTCCTAAACAAAAAACCCTCCACCACTTTTAAGAAGAAATTTTTTCTCCCATCTGCATCCCATGTATTATTTTTCTTCTGTCTTGTTCCTCCAAACCAGCTTGAAGTAGAAAGTGATAGCAGTCACACCTTCTACCCCAAAAATTACATTCCCAGCAGTTCAGATGGGATGTGATAAACCTATATGTACTCATATTGAAACACGATCAGAACTTTCCTAATTGTTTCTGCTGCAGTCACATTCTAAGATTATTTTGGTCATGGTGCTGTATTGATTTAATTAATAAATAAGCAATTTGGATCAGCTATACAAAAGATGGTGGATATAATATAGGTTCTGAAAGAATATAATTCTTTTTAAATGTATGCTGTTCATTTCTTTTTTCTCCCTTGCAGAGAACAGTTGGAAATGGTGATAGATCAACTTAAAGTCAAGCTGCAAGATGCTCAGCATAATTCACAGATGAATGCGTCTGAACTCCAGGCGTTGCAGTCTGAACATGACACCCTGCTGGGATGGTGGATATAATATAGGTTCTGAAAGAATATAATTCTTTTTAAATGTATGCTGTTCATTTCTTTTTTCTCCCTTGCAGAGAACAGTTGGAAATGGTGATAGATCAACTTAAAGTCAAGCTGCAAGATGCTCAGCATAATTCACAGATGAATGCGTCTGAACTCCAGGCGTTGCAGTCTGAACATGACACCCTGCTGGAAAGACACAATAAGATGCTGCAAGAGACTGTTGCAAAAGAGGCAGAACTCCGTGAAAAGTATGGTCTGCTGATGAATAAATATAGATATTTTATTTTGTGTGAGCTTTAAGGGCTGGGCATGTAGTGACCTATAACTGTACTTCCCAAAGAAAGGGCATAACTGTTGAGAAAGTTAAAGGAATTTTCAAAAGGATTGTTTGCTGTTTTTCATCAGCCTTCAGAAGTTTCATCAATGAAAATGAAGTAGTAGCTGATCAGGGAATTTGAGATTTCTGCAAGCTTTCTACCTGTTAACTATCAGATTTGAAAATGAACATTGTTTAATCAGGTTGACTATTTTTAAGTCCAATGTTCAGCACTACGTTTGTGTTGGACTGCTAAACTACATTTTATGGATGTTTCCTATTAGAAAAATAAGGTAGTTAAATGCAGAGGAAACAATTTCACTGACAAAATATCCAGTCCTGCGTCCACCAAGTGCCTTTCCTTACAGAAAGTTCTGGTTTTTAAGTCTATGCTTGCCACAATCTTAATCTGCTATTTCTGTCAAAGCGAAAGGAATCTGTTTAATCTGTATCACTTCTTGAAAAATCACATGAGTACCTAATATTTGAGCTCTTCAAAAAGGGTCTTCCCTTGTCTTTTCTTCTCTATTTAGGGTACAAAGAAGTTCGCATGAAATATTCATTAGAAACTACACCTTAGTATCAGGAAGTGTTGACTTCTTGTGTCTATCTTTGTACTGTCTTATCTGTTCCTGATAGCCACATGATGATTCATTGTAATCAACTAAATTATGTCCTTCTGCATTTTTCTGGAAACAACCCATATCACAGTAGGTTCCCTTTGTACCCAGAGAGACTAGCTCTTTGCTACTCTGGCTGTATTTAAGTTTGTATGCTTATAAGGGCAAGTCCTGTGCTTAGTCTTTCCATACTTGTACTTGTTTAATTGCTTGTGATGATTTTGTCTTGCTTCTGGAGTACCTCCAAACCAAGTACAATTGATGTCTTACTGACACTTTCCTTGCTAACAACTACACTCTTCTACCCTCTTTTGCACTGAAAGTTGAAGCTTAAAAAAATTCAACGTAGCTTCTTAGAAAAGTATGTTTTCAGAAGTCCTGCATAAATGTTTGGTAAATAAATGTTAAAGGAAGTGGGGTAAAAGGTAAGTGACATGCCCTGAATGACACTATAAACAGTCATGTTGCAATTTTTGAATTTAAGAATGTTTAGACCACAGTGTCTCTAATACTTTCATTTTTTCCCAAAGATGTCTGAATTTTGTGTTCTGAAATAGAAATCAAGAGTTTATGTAGCACAGTTCATTCATACGATAGGTAATAAGTGTAACTTTCTCAGTCTTAGATTTTCCCTGTAAAAAGAGGAGTTTAAATGGAAAAAAGTTGCACGGTCATTCTAAGATAATCATACACATGAAAACTGAAAACAACTGTAAACTCTAAAAATTTTGAAATGTAAAAATGACAATGTTTTGCTGTTTGTTTCTTATGTTTTGTGTGTACGCTGTTTTCAGGCTCTGCACAATACAATCTGAGAACATGGTGATGAAAACAGAGCATGCCCAGGCTTTGAGTCAGCTGACAGCCCAGAACGAAGCTCTCCGGAACAATTTCAGAGATCAAGTCAGGAACCTGCAAGAAGAGCACAGGAAGACAGTAGAGACACTTCAGCAGCAATTGTCCAGAGTAGAAGCTCAGCTCTTCCAACTCAAGAGTGAACCAAGCACTAGAGGTAACTTTCAGTCGTAATACCAGGTTTTCTGGGGTTAGATACAAATTTGCATACCTGAGTCTGAATCTAAAACATGCTTATAGTGTGTGGTTCTGTAATACACCAGAATTTTTTTCTGGAGAATTTGCAGCATACCATATTAATCCACTGATACCAAGTAAGGAACGTGTTATTGTTATTACTGTCCTTTCAGAATCTTAAGGTACTTGAATGCATCCAGAGGAGGGCAACAAAGCCGGTGAAAGGGCTGGAAGGCATGTCCTATGAGGAGCAGCTAAGGACTTTGGGCTTGTCTAGTTTGGAGAAAAGGAGGCTGAGGGGCGACCTCATTGCTCTCTACAGCTTCCTGAGGAGGGGAAGTGGAGAGGGAGGTGCTGATCTCTTCTCCCTGGTACCCAGTGATGGGATGCGTGGGAATGGCTCAAAGCTGCACCAGGGGAGGTTTAGACTGGACAATAGGAAGCATTTCTTTACCGAGAGGGTGGTCAAACACTGGAACAGGCTTCCTAGAGAGGCGGTCGATGCCCCAAGCCTGTCAGTGTTTCAGAGGCATTTGGCAGATGCCCTTAATAACATGCTTTAATTTTTGGTCAGCCCTGAAGTGGTTGGGCAGTTGGACTAGATGTTCATTGTAGGTCCCTTCCAACTGGAACTATTCTGTTCTGTTCTAGAATCTGCATCACTGTTATCTCTTCTGCAGTACCTGCATTGTCAGACAGATGGAGGGAAATTACTTTGCAAATATTCGGTGCTCTTCCTATCAGTTTGTCTCAGATTTTGGAGCATACTGGCCCTCTGCCTCCAGTATTGAGGGGTAAAGCTAAAGAAAAGTGTATTGAAAGCTGTTTTAACAACGTTTGTTATTGGTATACTTGCTATTTGATCCCTTTTCTAATTTAAGATTTTACTGTGTTCAAGCTCAAGTGCTATTTTTATATCTGTAAAGTTACTAATTAGGATGTAGTTGGACGTTTGCCAAGCAGCAGTAACAGTTTAAGAAGTTACTCTTTCCATATGTTACTGAAGCAGCAGGATAGTGCACACAGTATTAAACCAGAAGAATTTACACCTCCCACAGGACTGGTTGAAAGAAAAGCTAATTCTGTTTTGCATTAAAAACATTTGACACTCTTGTCATAGCTACAACACGTCTTCAGGGAGAGTTGCATGAAGGTTTCATAGTCACTGAAATAAAAATTGCCACTCAAGTTTGGATTTAGAAACAGGCTTTGACTGGAATGGTCATTTGGAGGTGAAAGGCTACGTTTTCGATTATAAATGTTATGTGTGTGTCTGGCTTTCTCCCTTTTCTTTGCCTTTCCTTCTGCTTTTTGAAGACTATTTTATGTACTGCTCTCCAATCTGAGACAGTCACACCTATGAAATAACCCTACCAATTTAATTTTCATGACAAACATCAGTAAGTATCTTTCAGGTCCAGCTGTTTCAAATCCAGCAACGAAGAACTTAAGAGAACGGCGAAACACTGACCTTCCTGTTCTCGATGTGCACACTGTAGCTAGGGAGGAGGGAGAAGGCATGGAAACAACGGACACAGAGTCTATCTCTTCAGGCAGCACCTATGTACCATCCTTGGAACAACTTCTGAACTCCCCGGAAGCAAAACTTGGTAGGTAGAACACATGGCTTTTTGAAGCACTTGCCTACGTAAGTTGCAGAAGTTTGTGCCCTCAAAATATCTGAGAACGTTGTGTTTTCATGCTTTTAGGTGCAAGACACAAGTCTACTTAAATGCCACTGAGTTTACACTCTCCTGAATTTCTGTAGGAGTTTTGTCCTTGACTAAGGACTAACAATAAAATGTTGCTACAGGTTTTAGTGATTTAAAGATGTCATATTTGTGACTTTCTAAAGGGAAAAGACTGGATGAGCAAGTCAGTGAATAGTTACAGAATTTTTTGTATTCTGGACGAGTCTCTACTAGAGACAATTAAGTGCTGATTTAACTCGCATTAATGAAAGGATAAAATGTTCATCTTAATGTGGCTTGTTAGAACAGGAATTAGTCATAGTTTTTTCTAGGAAAATGAAAGCCAGCATGAAGAGCAATGTTCTAAGAGTCCCCCAAAAAGTAGGAAAATACATGGTAGCATCTAATCATGTTTTAAAAGTCTACTGAATGCTTTGTGGAGAACTGTTGAAAATCTCCATCTGTGAGTAGGAAACAAGGGGTAAATGAAAACCATGTATCCTGATGTACTTAGAACTGATTTGCCAATCCCCTTCTAATATATATACAAAAATAGATCACAAAACAAGCATGCAGCAGTAGCAGCAATGATGCCTGTTAATTTTGCAATCTGACTTTGCATGGATTTTGTTTCTGACTTTGCATGGATTTTGTTTCTAAGAAACTACATTAATCAAGCCCTAGTGCAATCTGACTTTGCATGGATTTTGTTTCCAAGAAACTACATTAATCAAGCCCTAATGTTAAGTTAGTATAAAGTAGATGCAAGTGCTTTTTCCTTCTGTCAGTTTTCTTTCCCAATTAATTGCAGAACCATCTCAGTGGCAAACAGAACTCACCAAGGATGAGCTGATTCAGAAACTAAACACAACAGCGAAGAGTGCTGATCACTTGAATGAATTACTTCGTGAATCAGAAGCAACCAATGCAATCCTAATGGAACAAATAAAGGTTAGCAGACACGCAGGAAATGTGGGGACAGCTCTAATTTCTATGGTCTGTTTCTTAGACCGAATGTTTAACACCAAATATGTTTCAGAAAATCCCAGTCTATAAAAATTTGGTGATGCAAAACTTAATTTTGGAAGGGCTTTTATTCCACAGGACTAATTAGCGCTTTCAGAGTTGACTTCAGTTTTTGGGGTTTTTTTTCCCCACAGTTTCTAGTCGGTGGAGAGGGGAGAGTAAAAGCTGCTACAAAAAAAACCCTCAACAGTTTGGAAGTTTAATGTTTAGTAAAGTGCCTCTACTGTTTTCACTTAGACAAAAGCAGTAAATCCCAAGGGAAGCATTGTCTGGTTTCTCTTCCTGTAACCCCTTTTAGCTGTCTTAAGTTAAAAGAAGATACATGTTTAGAGATACGTGTACTAACAGAGTTTGGTTTGATTTGATTGTACCTCCCTGAGTTTTCTGAAAACATTTTTGAAGTTAGCATATTCTCTAAACATGCTAAGCTTTCTTTTATAAAATGTTTCTTAATGAATGATAATATTGTTAAATCTGTGATCCACGTTGCTTATTTAACTGTTCAACTCTTTATCACTGAAATTGAATAGTTAGTACTGTATATCATTATAACTACTGCACAGATTTTATCAAAAAAGGTTAGTTTTGATCAATAAAAAGTTGTTGTTTCTGGAAAACATTATCACAGGTTCAAGTTTCACTGGATTTTTGTCCAGAATATGTGCTATGCACACATTATGCTTTTTGAAGCAAGCTGCATAATTTGCTTTTTAGCTCTTCAAAAGACTTTTGTTCAGTTGCTCATTATATGAAACAAACAACATTGCATATTTTTTCCCTCATTTGCAGCTTCTTAAAAATGAAATAAGAAGATTGGAAAGAAATCAAGAGAGAGAAAAGTCTGTGGCTAATCTAGAATACTTGAAGAATGTTCTATTGCAGTTCATATTTCTAAAATCAGGAAGCGAGAAAGAAAGGCTGCTCCCAGTAATAGACACCATGTTGCAGCTCAGCCCTGAAGAGAAGGGGAAGCTAGTTGCCATTGCCCAAGGTAGGTGGCATTCAAAACATTGTCGCAAAAAAACGAAAAGTGGAAATAAAGGCAACTGAAGTTCTGTGCTTTCTTTTTTGTAAACCTTTGAGGAAAAACAGAGCTTAGCAGGATAATGCCAGTGAGCTAGCCATAAAACCATTTTGCTCTGTTGGGAAGTTACTATTCAGTTTTCTGAAAACAGAACAAATACCCAAGAAAATAAATAAAATCAAGGTAAAATATAATTTCTTCTGAAACATACACATTTTAGGAAGACGATAGTAAGTTGTAAAAATTTAATGTGTTCATGTTTTGAGTAGAGTTAAAGATTTCTGTCAAAGTGACCTTAAAATAGAGGTTACTATAAATGAATCGCTTTCTTGGCAGATGTTCTAAAAAGATAATTAAAGTGGTCCTCTCAAGGCAGTACTGCAGATCTAATATTAGTTTCAATACATTAACTTTAAAAATGTCTTCGAGAAAATATGCTTTTTGTTTAAGAACTAAAGGAACTAGAGAAGCAAAGAAAAAGAGTTAAGCCTTTGCAAGAAATTAACCCAAGAGCTGACTGTATAATAATGTTCTGGCTCCGCTTCAAATACTCTTTTTGAGCGTTTGTCCCCTTAAAAACACTTTTTAAGGTATTGTTTGTCACTTCTCAATAACAACCTGTAGCTTCTTGTACTTCATCAGCAACTGATCTATACTTTATTTTAAAATTAATACAAAGAGTAAGTACCGTGTGTGTATATAAGCACTTAGAAGTTGTGAACAAAATCATATAAATAAGGAAAGTGGCAAAGTACTGCATTCCATGATAGGCTTTGCGTTTGGAAAGATGAGATGTAAATTAAGTCCATAGCATTTTGATGTTGTTCTGGCACTCTAATGAACACTGATTGGATTTTTCTGGAGAAAGGTGATAAATGGCCTCTTTAAAACATCCTTAAGTACCCAAAGTGTAATGGACTTGGTGATAAAATCCATGAACATATCTATGGCAGCCGAAGAGTGAGTATTGAGTGTTACCTCCTCAACAAGTTTACGAGGGCAGCATTTGAAAAAGGACAGAGGTGGGACGTAAACAAGGTCATGTAACCAAATGATGCAATGTCTGACATAATAAACTAAGTTTATTGTATGTTTTTCTTCCTCCTTCAGGTGAGGAAGAGAGTACCTCACGGCCCTCTGGGTGGGCTTCATACCTCCACAGCTGGTCGGGACTTCGATGAGACAGTGGAAATGCTGAATCTTTAAACACATTCCACAGTTGCCGAAAGAGAAATCTTAATGTAGAAGAACAATCTGTTGGTGTTGTAGCATTGAACTACAGGGTTTTATTTCTGTGTGTTATTTTCAGCTTTTTAGGCTCTTCTAAGAAAGAAGCCCTCAGTAGCTCTGAAAGACTGTTCTATATTATGCTCTGACAGCAGTGAACTATTCCTCCTGTAAATGTTAAAGCTGATGATCAGAAGTATAATGAGAAGTGACAAATTAATTGCAAATTGCTTGGAAACAGAATTTGACAAACCTGTGATGGCTCTTTTGATATTGATTTAAAAAACTTGATCTAATATAGTAACTGCAATAACTAGACTTTAGACTTAAAGCATTTTAAAGTGTTTACAGTTTCTTTCACATAGTTTCGTCAGCTTGCTAATCTATATGGTTAGTGTTATTCTCTGCAAGTTGAAGAAATTAAAATTGAGTTATTTCCTCTCTGGTGATGCTTACAAAACGTAAGATCATTAAGAAACAGAAACGGCATTTTCTGCTTTGACTTGATTAAATTTTTAGTCTGGGTTTTTTGGGGTTTTTTTTTTTTTTTTGCAAAAGCTGGATTGAAAATATGAAGGCAGCGGTCCACAAAACATAGAGGGTGCCTAAGACTGTAATGAAATATAATGCTTGGCACACCTGGGGCATGGTGCTATAGTAGAGATTAATGGCATCTGTGGAAGTCTTGGGATAGTACACCAAGAATCAGAGGTCGTAAGTGAGCTGAAGCTTTGGGAGAAAGGGCTTAAGCTATGGCTTTTTAACCTGAGGTTGGAAGTTTGTGTTCAAGACTGGGAAGAAATGTTTCATTACTGTCGTGATGCCTATACTTAGATGAAAAGACTACTCATACTGACTTAGTCATATTGAAGACACTAAAGAAGAATCTGAGTCTGGAGGTCAGACCCCTAACAATAACTTCTGAGAGAAAAGGACAGAACTTTTGTCAATAGATGCATCTTTTAAATGTTCTAATGATTGAAGATGTGTTATCCTTCTCTCACTTCTCTGTGTTTGCACGTCATTTGCACAAATCTTACGCATAGATGAGATAATCTCTGTTCCAGGTTATTCAGAAGAATGTTTGGGTTTTTTCCAAGAAAAATACATCTCTGCCTTAGAATTACTTTTTCTGTTAACAACACAACATCTTTTTTTAGCTTCAGTCTTCTTTTTCCCCTTTCTAGTCCATGCTGCCTTTCACCATCTTAATTTATTTGTAAGTTATTAAAATGCGTACACACGTTTTTAAACCCTGCTTACCTTCCAACAAGAGTCTTTCCATCTTTTTCACTCATATTTTCATGCTCTCTGTGCTGTTTTATAGTGAATCATTCCCCGGTATACATACCAATGTGAAATAGTATTCTTTCTTTCCTATCTATCTTAGTTGAGGCTCTGAGGAAATGATGCTCATTCCTTTAATATTAACCTTATTCGGGACTGAGATTAATCTGGACATAAGAACAGCAGAAAGGCAGCACATGTTGAGAATAAAGTGTTCAGTAACTGTGCTTTTGGTTTAATTTTTTGCTTCTTGTATATATTTCAGTACACAATCAACAAAGCCAGCAGGCTTTATTTAGATGTTTTAATTCCTTTCCACAGTCTTAAGCACCTTCCCCCGCCCCGATATGTGTTCTAACTGGAATCTTTATGGTTTGTGCTACCAGTGAAAACATTTTCTGTGGACTTTCAGATCACAGAACTGATAAATGGTAGTGTGGGGATGAGTCTTTTAGGCATCTGTAGTTTGGAAATGTAGATAGCAAACATAAGGCTACGTTTAGGCTTTCTTGCATTTGCTTTTGAAACGATTACCATATCTTCGGCATTCACGATTTGCTCCAAATCTCGGATGTTGAATTCTAACTCCTTATTCACAGCTGGATTTGGTTAGTGTCACTCAAAAGAATGCCAAAACAGAGTGACAGGAGAGATTTGAAATATGCATAAAAATAAGCGCAAGTCATTCTCCTGCTGTGATTTTAACAATGGAAGCATATGAGTGGAAGGGTACGACTTTGCAAACTGAGTTTGAACTAAGTAAGACAGCTGTCCTGATCTAGTCTCTTCTGCACAGTATCTGCTCAGCCATCTCTAATGAGCTGTGACAAGTTGCTTTTAAAATGCACGTATTTCAGAACTGTAGATTATTTAACATTGTAAGCTGTGAATAAATGCACGCAAGTAACATACATCACTGGCTATATTAAATACCAGTTGCTTATTGACTTCTTTCAGGTCTGAGTTGCATGCTCACTGTTTTTAGTAAAACTCAAGTATTGTACTTACGAATGTAGTGGACACCTCTTGCATTACTATATGTATTTTTTTTTACGATGGAAGATTAAGATCTTAATTAATGTAAAGATATTTTAATAACTGCTACTAAACTGTGTTCTGTTGCTAAGATTGCCAGAACTTACCCTTGTGGCAATAAACTGTCTGTAGGCAAATATATCAAAGTTTAATATGCACTTGCAGTAAATGGCATAGAAGAATGTGGACTTGGAAGCAGGATTATTTTGCATAGAAACCTTTTTGTATGTCATATATTTGCATTTGTAATGTACAGCATTGTAGCTGTGACTTGCTTTCAAAAAGCAATTTAAAATTGTAACTAGTATTGCTGCTTCTTGATATACTGTGGTGCTCTTTTTTGGAAGAGCACAGTGCTGACTTTGCTTTCTGGTTCTTTTGTTTGTTTGTTTTCTTTACGGTGCCATATTTTGGTGGGATGTTACCCAGAAAATGTAACCCCTGCCCAAAGAGTTTACAAGCTTAGGACCAAATTTTACTCTTCTATCAGCCTGCCTTCAGCCAAAGCTTAAAGAGGGCATAATAAAAAAAAAAAACAAAACAAAAACCACCAAACCAAAAAAAGACACTCTACTGTCACTATGCAGAGTATATATTAATTAAAAACCAAAAATGGGAGTGATTCCGAGTTCACAGGCCTGTGTGTGCACTGTAGCTGCATTTTTAAACTACCTGTACTGGCTGAACGGGAATGAATCATGTGCCATCCATGTTCCCTTTACCCAGAAGGGAGACCCACCTGCGCAAGCGAAATGCGCTCCATTTGAAAGCCGGGAAGACCAGAGCTTGTCAGGCTGTAGCGCAGATGTGGCCAGTGGGATTTGGGGTTCAGGATGGCCAAAGGGAACCCGCGTTAGAAGTGATACATGGGAGAGTAGAGTTGCTTTTTTCTTTCGTGACCCTCCTTCCCCAAAGCATAATTGAGAGAATACATGGTTAGATTATTTTCTAAATGTAAATCTTCCTTTGGCTGTCGCCCTCCATCCTTTTGCTTTGATAACAGACGCTATATCCTGGAATTGTGGAGGAATATTTAAAAACTCTCCTTAGTTTGTACTAAGTGGCTTTGAAGGCAGCTTAACCACCTGTGCTTCATTTGGCTTATGCCTCGGCTTCACCCAGTGCACCAATACTTCCTCAACTACCTGATAGTTCTACTACTGCTGGTACTGTGAAAATATCTCCCTCGGGAGCCTTGCAAATAGCAGTTACCGCCCACGAGCTGAGAAACCAAACGTATGAAGAGGTACAAATATATTTGTTGTAGTAATTTCAGAATTGCTAGTCTGAATAGAGAAGTGTTTTGGTTGGAAATGCGGCTTTGGCCTTCTCATGCGGCCATCACTTCAATAAAATTCACCTTTACCCAACGGAGTGCCTTTCTTTTTCCCTGAATGCCTGTTCTTACCTGAGAAAACGCTACTCGGGAGCAAGGTAGAAAACAAGGGGATGTTTACTGTAGCATTAAAGAGAAGATTTTATGGGTTTGGTATAGTAGCCTCAGTCTTTACTTTGGAACACAATAACAGTGATGGATACTTCTGGATGAAGGGAAAAGAAATTGGTTTATGGGTTTTTTTTAGAAAAAAAAATCACGTTTTCAAAAAAAAGACTCATTTAAATTACTTCAGGTGCATTACTAGATTGTCACCAAGGATCTGACGATATCTGACGTGAAGAAGAGGAGGGATGCAGAAGGTATTAATGTCCTTGTTAGAAGGACTGCACTTAGTATTTCTATTTTAAGTACTAGCCACCTTATAAATCGGCACTCCTTTCAAACAGCACTCAACTTCGAAGAGGACAGAACTTCCTCTTCCCTAATTCCCTGTGATAACTTCTCTGTACCTGCACAGTTGTCCTAGCGCAAAAATTAGATGCTCTATGGATGAAGAGGTGGTTTGGTTTTTTGATAGACTGATTGAAGTGAGAGCTCGGTGTGTTTATCTTTTTGCCATCCACTTTCTGTTAGGCTATGTTCATTCTACAAATACGTGGTCAGAGCGCGGATCATAAGGTGCGAAAAGAAGTTGACGTAACATATGGATATAAAACAGTCAAAAAAGAAAGGCTGATATTGAAAGTCAACTGCTAACAGCTTTCACATAAATGCATATATGCTTAGGGGAAGGGAAATAATAATCTGACTGCTTTTCAAACTGAATTTGATCTAAAATTTATCATACTGTCTTGCAAGGATGAGAAGGTGCGTCTCAGGTTCAAGAGCTTCCTTCCTGTCCTGTGTTCCTCTGGCTCATCCTGAGGATCAAGGCTGGATCGAATAATGAGGACCGAGGATAGCAAAACAAAGTGGAAAAATGCGCATCGGTTACCGCTCCAACAATTCAACCCACTTTGGTATTAGCGAATCATTTATTCTTTTTGCTGTCAGTTGAATGCCCGTAGGCTTAAGAATCCAAGGGAAAGGAAATGAGTGTAAAAACCGATGTGCTATTTTGGGCGTGGGCACAGTCCCAGTGCTCTTGTAATGGCCTTTGAAAGTGTTCTAAATTGATAGACGTTGGCTAGCAGTATATGAGTATAGGATTTAAGGGGGTTTATTGTTTCATGTGGAAGCTTAATTGCTTGAAAATCGAAGCTTGTTCTGAGAACACTCAGAGCGTTTCCGGAGTGGAGGTAGGTATTAGTTCTTGGATCTCTCGCCCTTTGCAGCATGCAGAACGTCTCAAAAGTAAAAACCATGGAAACCGTTACAGGACTCCAGAAAAAGGCTCTTGCCCAAGTACTGTTCTAACTGTCGTTACTCCTCTTTGTGGAGTGAAGTTGCTGATGCTCAGCATTACTTTTGCCAAGGGAGAAGGCCAGTCGTATCATTTTGGCTTTTAGCATCCAAATATTTATACAGACTCCTCTCGCGAGCAGTCACACCATTTACTTAAACCTGCAGCTGCAGCGGCCTAGGTGAAGCCGCCGGCCTTTGCAGGAGGACAGATGGGTGGTCGCTCCGCTCCACGGGTGGAGGGCTACAGCCTTTGGAAGAGCAGAGAGAGAAGCAGCTGGAGGGAATAAAAACTTAAACGGCTCCTGTTGCCGACGTGGTGGGTCTCCGTCCCTGCCCCGACTAGCCCGTCTCTTGGAAACTGGTTACACCGGTTGTTTGCAGGGCGGTGCGGGTACGGGGAGTGCGTAGTGGATGTATGGTACTTCTCTTGCGGGAGGAGGATTTCCAGAAAACGCAGAAAAGCTAACGATAGGTTTTGTAACATTCTGCGGAGGATGGAGATTGCAGTGACAAAAAGCTTAAAACAGAAAAATGACAGACTTAAATTACTTCGGGTTGGAGCTTGTTTCCCCCCCCCTCTAGTTACGCCAAGTTATTTGACTGACTGCCGTGCTGCTTGACGCTGAGCTACGCTTCCTCTCTCTGGAGGACCTCAGCATACTGGCATTGGCAAAAGCTTCCAAACAACCATACAAAATAATAAACAGGTAATTCTAAGTGTTTGCGTCAGATGGTTGTTATTGAGCAATGACTTTTTTTTTTTTTAAGCAACGGTGATACCACTGATCTTGTAACAGCTAGGGATGCTTCTGCTAAGATGTGGTCCGTATGCGGTACTGAAGGACGGGGTTTGTCAGCGGGATTTGCCGTCAGATTTGTTCCCTACCGTCTGCAGCTGAACAGCGATCACTTTGCAAAACTATTTCTGATGGGCGGGTTGGGGATTTGGGGTGGCTCAGGGAGTGGTTTATTTTTAATGATAGGTGGAGCATAACGATAATAGTCTGCTAAACAGAAAGGATGACTGTGTATTACATTAGCTCTCTTTATAGCTTTATCTATTGATGTATACTGAGCTTTCAGTTTGGAATAGATGCCCTGAACTTTTTTTAAAGTATCACTAGCAATAAACATTGCTGTGGACAAATCTCCATATTCCTCTGTCATATGCAAGTGGCATACAAGCTTAAATCAAAATGTGAGAATAATACCACGATTGCCAAAAGTCATTAAGTTACTTTTTGAAGTACCTGTTTTGTGGTGCTGCCATAAGCTTTTTCTTTAGCCGTTAGTGTGTCCATCCAATTACTGACCTTGTCATGAAGCAGAAGTTTATGCTGCTAAATATGGAATTTTAATGATCAATTTTGCAGGGTTTTGAGATTGAGCTATAAAAGTTATATCCCTGTTCTTGCATCACCTCCTTCCATCTCCCAAGAAAAGGTGAAGCCAAATATACTAGGTGGGTCTGAAATGCACGAAGCAGAAATTTGACTTTGCTTTTATAAGGACGTCGGCATGATCACTGAAATAACTCTGTTAGTACTGAGTAAGCTATATACTTTTTTTTTTAATAGCGAAGGTTTTTATGGAAATCAAATAGTGGTCAAAACTTATTTGTTTCTACAACTGAGTTTTGAAAATGTATTAATGCTGAGCAAGAATGTGAAACCTAAATAATTTGTTACTTGTGAATTCATTAAAGGTTTTGCTAGAAATGCTTAGCTGGACACCCTGTGTTCAAAAATAATTCATATTTAAATGGTTAAAGATGCCTTTGCTGTTGCTTTAACTTCATAGCTTTGGAGGTATGACATGAAGAACACTGACACAGTTTACAGTTGAAATCCATTGATTATATTAAGGTAAACAACCACGGGGCTGCTATGTTAACAGGCACTCAGAGTCAATAACAACATGAGGAAGAACACACCATCTGTGGTTGCATGAAGTTCTGGGAAAAAGCAAAAGCTAGAGCAAATACCATGGGTGGAAGTTACTTATTCGAGTCTCTCCGTATCACTATGGCAAAATTGTGAAATGCATTTTCTGGAAATGAAAAAGAACTTGGTGTAAAGATGCTGATATTTGTGATCACAGAGACAGGCAGTCAAATTCTTTTACCAAGCAGCCTTTTTCTTGTCTCTCTCCCCAATAACCCTTCCTTTCTCACTTCTTCCCCAGGCCTACAATAACGGTCTTGTTTGGTGTCAGCAAAGCTGACTGATAACATGTATAGCTCTGAATAGGTAAAGGTTCCGTGCTCTCACTTCTACCACTGCTGGCCGCGGTACTATACGTTGGCATTTCAACAGTGATGGAAGACTTAAAGTGCTCTGGAAACAGAACATCAAAAGCGTATGTCTACTTAAAACTGCTTTTTACTCAAGTTTAGCAGGGAGAGATGGGAGGGAAAAAAAAAAAAAGACATTAATTTTGTGATTGCTATGCTGGTCTGGAGACATGGAGTCCAAAGTCCCTGCTTTGCCACATGCTTCCTTTGTGAATTTAATTTCGATTTCTCTGTCTCTGTTTCCTCACTTGTCTGCTGAGGATAATGGCACTTCTCCTCCTGATGCCAAGTACATTAGCAGTAGAATGTTTAACTTCGTGATGGGTTTGTAAGCAGAAATAAGTAGGCAGATTACCGTATTTTTTAAAAACTGCATAGGAAGAAAATGGTCGTAGCCTTTCATTGTACTGGACTGGAAGGTGTGACCTTTTTTTCCTTTTGAGTTTGTGGTGTGTGTTTGTGAATCCTATTAAATTATTTTCCTAAGTATTCTGGACTGAATTTTACAAGTTAATTAGAATGCCAGCATGCTCTAATACTATGCAGTGGAGAATTAATAACAATCAAGAATTGTTATTTCTGTTGTACAGCAAGACACAACAAAAAGTTAAATTGGACCCCAAAGCCAAGGCGCAAACTTGCTGCAAAGCGCACAGAGCCGAGGGAGGCAATCTGTGAAACTGAATTCCTGGCTCTTCTTGGTACGGCATTTCCAAAAGCTGCTAGTACTTAGCGTTTGGCATACGTACATGTTTGGGGGAGGCTCTCCCACTCACAATGAATGCCTTTGCTACTTTGAGACTGTACTGCTAGCAGATGAGGTTCTAGGGATGTCATCTTTAAAAGCACAGGAAAACTGTGCATGGTGCAATTCACTTGCCATTAAATCTATGAATGTGCTCTCTAAAGGAAGGACCGTAACGGCTGCGCTCGTTGGCAGGCCCTGCCTGTTAATTATTTCCAGAGTTTACAGTTTCGGAGTTTGCTGCCCTGATAGCCGCACGTCTGCCCAGCCACCTCCCCCCATTTCAGGCTGTGCTGGTCAGAGGTGCTGCTCTTCGGCCAGGCTCAGCAGCCAGGGGCAACTGCCTCGTACAGCTCCCCAGCAGGACAGGCAATGGGAGAGACCCCGAAATCCTTGCAGACAAACTGAGGTTAATTAAAGACATTCATGAAGCTGCCTACAAGTAATGGCAGACTGCCCAAAGTTGATTAGAAAAAAACAAAAGGGTACTATTACCTTCAGCTGGCACAGAACGAGTACTTAGATGAAATAAGGAAGCTCTGCTGACAGACTCATTACAATGAGTGGGTGTTTTGTATTTTGGTGGGGT